GGTTTCTAGGTAGCACATGTGGTTAATGTGCTCAGCTGCTAACCCAGAGATTGCTGGTTGAGTGCACCAGACATGCCTTGGAAGAAAGGCTTGGCAATCTACTTTTGAAAAATCAGCCATTGAAAACTCTATGCAGCACAGTTTTACTCTTGACACACATGGGGTTACCATGAGTGGGAGATGACAGTAACTGGTTGATCATTGACAACTGGTTTCATATGTTTTGGGAGTGGGGTCAGGACATTCCCCTCAGCAGGGATTGGGATGTGCATGCTGGCAGATTACTGAGATCTCTTTATACTTTATATCCCAGCTACTATCTTTCTGAGTTGTAGAAGATCTTTTGACTTTATAACCTAGCTGCTCACTTTTTGGGTTAGTGGGGAGTTAAGTTTGTTCTTGAACTCCACCTCTGACTTTTTGCCCTTAGAAGATCTCTCTCCATTCTGCTGTACTCCGACTTCATTCAGTTCTGGCTTTATTTGATGACAGCTCAGAGCTACTCAGGAGATCTTTCTCATTTTTTTTTTCTGCTACTAGCCTTTAGTGACTGGTGCTTTACACGTAGGAACCTGATCTCTCTCAGCAGCTCCCAGCCTTGGTGTTCTGCATCTATGCACTCACTGCAAGCCTTATGGGGAAAATTGGCACATGGGTGTGGAATTGCTCTTTAATTGAGGTTCTAAGAAACTGAATTACTCACATCAGCAGCTATTGAACATTTGTTTAAATTTCAGCTGGTTTCTTCATATCCCCTGTTTTGAAAAGTTTATTCTTCTCTTGTCAGAGATGAAAGCAGCTATGCATTTCCTTTTGGGGAAAGAATTGTATCTGGAATTTAGTTCATTTAGGTTTCTTTGCATCTCAGCTCTTGCACTTGTTTTCTTTTTCTTTTAATCTGTGAGTTTGTGGCTTGCACACTTTTTCTTGTTGCAGGCTCTGGCTATTTTTTAAAGTTTACTTTTAAATTATTTGCCACTGGAAACATTTTCCAAGCACACTGGCATGGAATACCTGAGAAATTTGTCAAAGTTCTGATGAATAAATTGTGACATTTACTTTGAGTGTTGAGTGATTGTTACTCATCTAGTCACACATTAATGCCTGTGATCACCTTTATAACAAGTAATACTATTTATAAGATAATGAGCAATTACTGCTCATGTCAGAAGATTTTGGAAGAAAGAAAAGATTTCCAGAAAGATGTGTGCCTATGTTTTGTTGACTATGCAAAGATATTCGACTGTATGGATAATAACAAATTATGGATAACATTGTGAAGAATGGGAATTCCCGAACACCTAATTGTGCTCATACAGAACCTGTGCATAGACCAAGAGACAGTAGTTCAAATAGAACAAGGAGATACTGCATAGTTTAAAATCAGAAAAGTGGCATCAAGGTTGATGACCATACTTATTTAGTCTGTATGCTGAGCACATAATCCAAGAAGCTGGACTATGTAAGGAAGAACACAGCATCAAGATAGCAACCTGTGATAAACAGATGATACAGCCATGCTTGCTGAAAGTGAAAAGAACTTGAAGCACTTATTGATGAAGATCAAAGTCTACAGACTTCAGTATTGGACTACACCTTATGTTAACTGCTTCAAGTTCTTCATATAGTCCAGCGTCTTGGATTATTTGCTCAACATAAGGAAGCTCTGGTGGCATAATACCTAAGGCATTTGACTGCTAACCAGAAGGCTGGCAATTCAAACCCACCAGCTACTCCTCAGAAGGAAGATTGGGCAATCTACTTCCATAGTGATACTGCCTCAGAAACCCAAGGAGGGGTTTCTATGAGTCGTAAATGACTTGACAGCAGTGAGTTTGGTTCTCAACATAAAGAAAACAAAAAGCCTTACAACTGGACCAATAAGCAATATCATGATAAATGGAGAAAATATTGAAATTATCAAGGATTAGATTTTACTTGGATCTATAATCAACATCTATGGAAGCAGCAGTCAGGAAATTAAATGGTATATTACACTTAGCTAATCTGCTGCAAAAGACTTCTTTTAAAGTGTTAAGAAGCAAAGATGTCAAGGTACACCTGATCCAAGACATGGTGTTTTAAGTTACTTCGTATGTATATCAGAGCTCCACAATGAATAAAGAAGACTGAAGAAGAATTGATGCATTCGTGTAGGCAAAGAATATTGAGTGTGCCATGGACTGCCAGAACGAACAGATCTGTGCTGGAAGAGGTATAGCCAGGGTGCTCCTTAGAAGGGAGGATGGTGAGACTTCATCTCATTTACTTTGGACATGTTATCAAGAGGGACCAATCCCTGGAGAAGGCCATCATGCTCGGCAAAATAGATGGTCAGTGAAAAAGAGGAAGATCCTCAGTGAGATGGATTGACATAGTTATTGTAGCAATGAGCTCAAACAGCAATAATTGTGAGGATGGCACAGGACCAAGCAGTTTTTCATTTTGTTGTACATAGGGTCACTGTGAGTCAGAACTGACTTGGCAGCACTGAGCAACAACAGAGCTTGGTCTGGGACTGGTCTGTTAACATGAAGCATAAAGAAAGTATAGTGATTGAGCATGCAGCCTTGCCTTGTGAGCATTTATCCAACCTTATGTGTGAAAAAGAAATGCAAACGCATTCCTAATATCACTTATTGCAAACTCACTGCTGTCGAATCAGATCCGACTCATAGTGACCCCTCCTTGGGTTTCTGAGGCATTATCACTATGGAAGTAGATTGCCCAATCACTTATCTAGATGACTTTAAAGTTGTAGGGAAGGATTTGGTTATAAGATAATTTTAGTTATATTAATAAATAAAGATATTTTCTACTTGAGGTAATAGGTAACTCAGAGTTATTTTATGGTGATGCTGTCAAAAGTATTTATTCCCTTGTTTAGGATCCATGTCTTGATTACATTCCTTTTGCTCTGTATTATCTTTTAAGATTCCTTAGAAGAATTGTGACTGGTAACTGCAGGCTTAACTGGTCCTGTGTTCTCTGGAGTCTGGGGTAACTGGTACACAGAAGTATATTGGACATTTAATGTCTAACAAAATTCCAGACTTATTTGATTTTTTTAAATTTACATTAAAAAATCTCAGACATATGTAAAAAGTTGTAAAAATAGAATAATAAACTCCCATGCTTCCAACCATTACTCAATCTTGTTTTATCTATTCCTTTTACTTCATAAAAATTTTTAAATGTATCTATCTATATATATCTATATTTCTTTGCATCTCTGTATCTATCTATGTTTTTATGGGGTATTTTAGAACTAATTTCAGAAATCATATCTCATTTTACCTTATGTAAATCTTCCCAATAAGGAAAAATAAAGTTAAACATAATTACTATGATATTTTCATATCTACAAAGTTAATAATAATTCCAGAATCTCTTACACATTGATTTTTATGCCCTGTTTCTTTAACTATATTGTGGGGGGGAACCAAATTCACTGCCCTCGAGTTGAGTCTGACTCATAGCAACCCCTCCTTGGGTTTCCAAGGCAGTATCACTACGGAAGTAGATTGCCCAGCCTTCCTTCCAGGGAGTGGCTGGTGAATTTGAACCTCCAGGCTTCTGGTTAGCAGTCAAAATTTTATATTATTTTATCCAAATAAGATTATTCTGATTTTCAAAATGTTTGAGTCTTCACTGCATTTTTCTATTGCTCTCAAGAAGTTTTAGATCAGGGGATGCCTTATGAAAAAAATTGATTACATTTGAGAAACACTGTATTCCATATTCCCTTATGATGTTTCACAATGCAGCTTATCACATGCAAAGTTCTGAGAAGTTTGGTGATGAAGAATTAACTTGGCTTAACCTAGAATTTACTAAACTAATGTGACCCCAGAACCTGTTTGTTAAATGTAGTTTCTGGTAAACAAAATGCACTTTGGGGGATGTTGCTGGAGGCAGGAGAATGCAGAGTTGTTTCTGAATAGCAAACCAGGAATGTTTCACTTCATTTTTGTTTGAATTACTTGAATAATTATTTGTCTTTATTGCATTTTCATCACAATCAAGTCATATTTATCCTCTGTAATCTGCTTAATATCGATAATGTGGTATAAACAGATAGATCATTTGCCTTATGATCTTACATTCAGAAAATCATTCCTCACACTGTATAACTGTATTATGGTATAAGCATTTTGTTTTTCTACTCATATACCAACACCAAACCCACTGCTATTGAGTCAGTTATGACTTATAGTGACCCTAAAGGACAGAGTAGAACTGCCGCATAATATTTCCAAAGCTGTAAATCTTTATGGAAGCTGACTGCCTCATCTTTCTCCCAGAGAAAGGCTGGTGCGTTCCAATGCAAACCTTTTGGGTAGCAGCCAAGTGCTTTAACCACTGTGCCACCAGGGCTTCTTTCAAATTATATAGATAGTTGCAAAACAAATAAAAGCCATGAATAATCACTCCTCTATAAAGAAAGAAAGATAAACTTTATTGGTATTGTAATGAAGGGAAAGGCAGAAATAAGATGTGATATAAGTCAAGAAAAAACAACCCAAAAGTTAATAATGAGCAAGTAAATATAATGTATTTTACTTGTAAAGACTTGGGTAAAAATGACTAATAAAGATATTTAAACATAGACAATAGTGTGGAAACTCAAATAATTTGAATAGTTATATGCTATTAACTTTTATTCACTTTAAAAAAATAAAGTTTACAGGGCCAAGTGGAGGTTCTTTTGTATCAGTCACAGGGAAAAAAATCCTCCATTTCTGGGACTCCTCTTTTGCTCACTCTGACATGAGTGAGAAGGAAGTCATCAGGCACTAGTGCTGTATTGGCTCTGCATCACAGATCACAGCCCTACTAGCACAGTTGCCCTCTATCCTTACACCCCTATACCTCCCAGTCCTCCAGAGTGCATTAATTGGTTACGCAGCTGTCTCTTGTCTTTATATTACGTAAGTGTTGCAGACATGATCCTTTTCTCTATGGTACTACAAAGGTAATTTTTCCCCCATTACTCTTAGTTAAACTGCAACTTCAAGCAGAAGAGAGAGGGGTTGTATCTATCAAGGGAGTGTGTGCCAACCGTTATCTGGCAATGAAGGAAGATGGAAGATTACTGGCTTCAGTAAGTAAGGCTTTTCTGTTTTTTTTTTTTTTTTTTTCAATATTTTTCTTTGTTAGCACTTACTGCTGTTAATTTACTGATACAGATATTTATTAAATCTTTATTAAGAACTTTACATGTATTATGTCATTTATTCTTTGGATTCTTCTGTAGAGAGTATTATTATTTCTATTATAGGATATATTATTACTATGTATTTTATTATGTATTTCACAGATGCAGAAACTGAAGTTGTAAGGGAGTGAGTAAAGTAACCAAGAAAACACAGCTCATACAAGGTAGAGACTAGATTAGATTAGATTTGAGGCAGTCTTGATGCCAGAGCATGAGTTATAAATCACTATATTTTACTGTAAAACTATTAAAATACTTTTTTTAAAAAAAGAAAAATTTCTTTATATTGCATACTTGTTTTAGGTTCTGTGGAGATGGGTATACAAAATTTTGATGATCAGTTTTTAAGTTTCTTCTTTGGAATTTGACATGTGAAAACACTTGGAGGATGAGATTATAATTTGAACTCACATTCTGGGTACAAATGCTGGCTCTGGCACTTATTAGCTATGCATTCCTATGCAAATTATTCTATGAGTCAGTCCCCTTACCTGTAAAATAAAGAAAATAATGATATCTCATAGAGTTTTTTGTGAGGACTAAATTAGATAGTATGTATTTAGTGCCAAAGTCTACATAATGTTGTTGTTGTTGTTATGTGCCGTCAAGTCGGACCTGACTCATAGCGACCCCTCCTTGGGTTTCCAAGGTGATATCAGTATGGAAGTAGATTGCCCCATCTTCCTTCCAAGGAGTGGCTGGTGGGTTTGAACCACCAGCCTTCTGGTTAGCAGTCAAGTGCCTTAGGCCCTATGCTACCAGAGCTCCTAATACATAATAGGTACATAATAGGTACTCAGAATTATTACTTCCTCAAGTTAGGACAGGAACTTTTGTGTCTTAAATCATACTTATGTTAGAGGTCCTAGCTCCTGGCCAGAATTCTTTCCATTAGCAGGCTCCCTTTTGGTACCACCATTATTATCAGAAGCACAATTGTATGTCTGTTGAGCATACATAGTCTGTGAGGGAAGTAGAGACACAGACCCTATTCCTGTCTGCAGAAGGGGCAGAGAGGTGGCATCTTATGACCTTCTCTAACTCCACAAGAGGAAGACAGAATCACCATCAGCAGCCCAAGGCCTGTTCTTATGAGGCCAGACATGCCACCACCCTCCAACTCTCTTACTAACCTTGTCACCAACCGTTCCTCCCATGGCACCTACCACCTCTCTGCTGGGTTTTATAATTTGCTGTAGTGGCCACACAAAACTCATAGATTATGGGGTTTATTAGGGAAGCAACAGGCTACAATTCAAGTTCAGGAACATGCTCAGTCTCTCTCAGCTGGCTTTTTCAGGAGGCTGTCTCTCTCAGTCTCTCTCAGTAGCACATCTCCGTCTCAGCAGTCCATGTCTCTCACATCTCTATTTTCAAGGTGTCTCTCAGCAGTGCATCTCTCTCTCAGCAGCCCTTTTCTCTCACACCTCTCTCAGCAGTCCGTCTCTTTCAGTAGCACGTCTCTCTCAGCCAACAGTCAGAGAGACTCCTTCTGCCTCTAGGAGGGCTCCTTTTGAGCCTGGCAGAGTGGCCAAAACCAACCAACCCCAACATCAGAATTCTGCACTCTGAGAGAGAGTGAACTTCCCAGAAGATTGCTTTTTGCTGCTCCAACAGAAATACATCAGGTGTATAACTTTAACAATCAGCTACTCAGTTGCTCATGGCAAAGTGGGAATTACAAATACTATGGCTAAAAAAGCCATACCATGTAATTTACTACACCATGCTGTCTTACTGGGGGAGTAGATAAGAAAGGCATCTGAAAGTGTACATACCAACTACACCCATAAAACAATACTAGTGGCTAGTTAAAACATCTATAACCTTTCCCACAGAAAGGATCTGACAGTACTGAGAAGCAGTGGTGTTTTGAGCTGTACAAATAGTTGAAAATTTTTTTGGCTTTGGCTATCTGAAGGTCCTGAAACAGACTTACAGAGATTAAGGATATTTCAGTTATTTCAATTTCAGATTGATCACCTAACTAAGATATACTTAGGTTGATGTCACAGTTTCCTAGGGCTGCTATAACAAAATATCACAAGGTGGGTCGCTTTAAAGAACAGAAATGTATTTTCTCATGAGTAGAGGCGAGAAGTCCAAATTCAGGGCATTGGCAGAACTATATTCTCTCTCTGTTGTCTCTAGGGGAAGATCTTTCCCAGTCTTCTTTAGTTTCTGGTAGCTCTGGGCATTTCTTCTGTCCCTTGGCTTGTGGACAGATCCTCATGTACTGTCTTTCTCCTGTTTGTGACCCTCTTTCTCTGTCTGATCTCCTCTTTTATAAAACAACACTCAGAAGGGATTATGATTAGGACCTACCCTACACCAGTATGATTCAACTGATGCATCTGCTAAGAAAAATCCTGTTTGCCCAGACAAGGTCATATTCACAAGTACAGGGGTGGGACTACAGCATATCTTTTTGGGACACTGTGTAATCTATAATCCTTGATATCCATTTATGTGTTATTTCAGGATAAATAGAAGGTTTGTTAGGTCCCTGGGTGGCGCAAGATGGTTTGCACCTGACTACTAACATAAAGCGAGCTCTGGTAGCGTAGTGCCTAAGGCACTTGACTGTTAACCAGAAGGCTGGTGGTTCAAACCCACCAGTCACTCCTCAGAAAGAAGGATGGGCAATCTACTTCCGTAGTGATACTGTCTCAGAAACCTAAGGAGGGGTTGCTATGAGTCGGGTCCAACTTGAGGGCACAAAACAACAACACAACAACACTAACCTAAAGGTTGGAGGTTCAAACCCACCAGATGGCAGGGAAGAAAGATTTGGTGATCTACTTCTGTAATGATTACAGCCAAGAAAACCCTATGGAGTAGTTGCACTCTGTAATACATAAGGTGTTGGAATGGACTTGATGGCAGTGGGTTTATTGATTTGTTGATTTGGTTTCTGGGTGTAATAGCTGTCACATATTTTTTTGGTAGTTGAATATATTTTACAATCTTTGTTTAAACCCACTACCATTGAGTTGAATCCAACTCATAACAACCCGTAGGACAGAACAGAACTGCCCAGAGGGTTTCCAAGGCTGTAAATCTGTATGGAAGCAAACTGCCTCATCTTTCTCCCATGTAGTGGCTGGTGAGTTCAAACTACTGATCTTTTGCTTAGCAACTGAATGCTTTAACCAATACATCACTAGAGCTCCTTTGTTCAGTATAGCCAGTGAAGTGTGCCATGTGCTATGCTAGGCATTGGGGTTATAAAACCAAGTACGAAATGATCTCTACCCTTAATGAGTCACAATCCATGGAGGCAGAAGAGTGAATATGTATTTATAATAATGTGTAAGGGTTTTGATATGCTTCTTCTATATCTACATAAGAAAGGGAGTGATTAAATTTGTCTAGAAATGAAGGAGATGACTCAAAAATAGGATTTTAGATAATGAAGAGGAAGAAATTCAGCAGGCAGTCAGGGAGCATTATGAATAGAAAAGAGCATATGGGTAATTCTGGGACAGAGCACATACAAAAGCATGGATGCAAAAAATGACTTGATGTATTTCTAAAATATAAGTAATCACTATTGCTGGAAGGTAAAGAACAAAGGAAAGTCAGGATGGAAGGGAAGAGATAAGCCTGGAGAGATAGATTTCTTACTAAAAAACCTTATACACACACTGATGGTAAGCCTTGGAGAGCCAGGAAGAGTTTTAAGAAGAGACTTGATCAACTTTGAATTTTAGAAAGACCACTCTGGCAGCAGTATAGAGAATGGATTTGAGGGGACCAAGACTGGCAGCAGAGAGATCAGTTAGAAGGTTATTGTAATAGTCCAAGCAAGTGATGATGACAACCTGGCAATAGTGGTAGGACAGAGAGGATTGTGTAAAGTGCTAGAACTTGTGACTGGTAGCTGTCGTGAGATTGAGGGATTTGGGAGCTGTTCATGAGATGGAAGTGTTAAACAAGATATTTATATTTATTGGGACTGCTGCAATGAGAGATATTGCATGCTTTGCCTGCAAGGGACATTCCCTTACAGCAGGAGATACTCCAAAGGTAAAAGGTGGGGAGAGTACCAGAAGGGGAAGAGGGCAAAGGAACTCCTGGGAGAGAGGGGATGCAGAGAGTGGGCTTATGTGTCTGGTGATGTCCCTTAGTAGCAAGCTGCGAGTCTCTGAGTTAGAGACCTCTGAAAGGCTTGGGATCTTTATAAGTACAGGTCTTATCTTATATAAGGAGCTCTGGTGGCATAGTGCCTAAGGCATTTG